TAGCTTTTTAAGAGAAATTGTAGTCCTTTAATTTTGGGAAAGTATTTTGAAAGCATTTGTGAGAACAATTCCAAATTCCGTGAATATTTTCTCTACCTTTTCATCAGAGGAATTTTCATTAATCTAGGAATCAATTAGACATTCGATAGTCAATTAAAATCTCGTAGTAAGAATACAATTATGCTTTAGTTGTAATTTGTTCATACATTTCACACTTACAATTAAAACTATGTAGGTTGTTTGAATTTCAATAAAATTAAGTTTTTGAAAATAGAAAATGCATAAAAGGAAAACTTCGATCAATAAAATTCATTTTTCTTGCTGTATAATTTGTTTTTTTTAGACCAAAAATAGTTTTTTAATGAAAGATTATCTTTTAAGTTTATTTCTGTTAATTGTTATTTATTTATTATTAATCTTGCTTTTTGCGACCAAATGAGAGATTTTGCTAGAAATAATCTATAGAATAATAACATACAGACGTAGTTTTGCTAGATAAATTAATATATGGAATAATAATATATCGACGCAGTTTGCTGATTAAAATAATATATGGAATAATAATATATAGACGCAGTTTTGCTAGATAAAATAATATATAGAATAATAATAATATATGGACGCAGTTTTGCTAGATAAAATAATGTATAGAATAATGAAGCTGGATTTCAGTGTAGAAATACTGACTTGTATTACTTCACTATGAATAAATCTTTGTTTTTATATGTCGCCGGTAATGTACGTAATGCCGGCAGTGTATCTAATTCCCAGCGGTTATGGATAAAGTATGAAGTATAGCGATGAATGGACACTTTTATTAGATGTGCTCTAAAAAGTATGTTACTATGATTTGGTGGATGCAAATGATATAGAAAAACAAAAAACTACATTGATTTTTTCTTGCATTTTGAAAAAAATCTTGATTATTAAAGAAGTTTTGACTATCTAAGTTGATTACATATAAAAATTATCATCTTCTTTATTTAATAATTCATTTTTTTATAAAACAGACACAAATTTTACTTTTATATACTTATTTGGGTTTTATTTATAATATCCAATAAGGTAACATATCAGTGTAGGAATTATAGCGCAATGCCTATAAAACCTCTAAGACTTATAAAATAATAAGTATAAAAAGAAAACAATAAAGGCAATATCCGACAGGAGTGTACCAAGCTATGAACCACACATCCCTGTAGGATTATTATACCATTTAATGCGTTTTTATTAACAAAACATGGTGGTTACTAATGGTCCCGCAGTGGACTTATCGTTAAGATACGGTTCCCAGTAGAACACCGGTGTCAATCCTCGCTGGTTGCGGTCAGTGCGCGGGTGGGTGATCACTTGGATCAGTCTCCGAAGGGATCGAAGGTGTGCAGTATCGGTCCTCGTCAAACTGTTCCATCGTAAAGTGCTCGACTTCGTGTGTGTGTCGTCAGGCAGCCGAAGCGGGGGTGCCATCTTCTCTGTAGAGGATCAAAATTGTGATGGCATTTTTTCGGATCATCCTCTGGGATGTGTCGTCAATAGCCCATTATGCAGCTCATAAAATAAAAAATATGGCATGACACCATTTTAAAATCTTGATTAATAAATAAATTAATCAATAATAAATGAATAATTAATGATATTAAATAAAAAAACGTCTAGGGATAAGTGAAAATTTTGATTTATTAATCACATATTTTACAGAATTTCATATCAATATTACAATGATGGACAATTAATCAATATTTTAAAACATGGATCATTGCATAATTATTTGGATAAATAAAACACAAAAAATTAGTACAAATATAATATATTGAAAATATTGTATCTATATTCTCAATTTCAACAAGAATAGATCTAGAAAAATAAAGATTTATGGACGTAGTTTGTTTTGACCTACTCATATTAGATAAATTTCTAATTTTTATTCCTTTTTTTTTACATGAGCACATGTTTTATTAACAGAAATGAATTGCAGATACAATATTAAATTTTCAAGCTTTTATCAAGTTTATGAGTATTGTACCATAACTGTATTACACTGATTATCGTAAAAATGGGGTATAAAATAGAAATGGTCATTTTTTTGGTCTACTTTACGAATCATGAAGATAAGTTGTATAATAATGCAGCTTAACGTATTCTTGATTGGCAAGGTGTTGGCGAACAGTGCTATTTAAATACATTATTTGGCAGTGCTGCAAGAAAAGATTGCGAGATAAATGTTATGATAAGGATTATTCTAAGAAGTAAATTAAATAAGAATAAAAAATAAAGTTAACCATTAAGGGATTAAAAACATAACTTTATTTTATGTCGCTATTAGTTCCAAGTACTGACTTAAGAGAACCAAAAAATACGATGTAAGAATGCATATCAATTTAATATATTTGATAAAACAAAAACGTTTTCCTCAATAATTTTAAAAATTGGAAAAAACATCATGTTCTGAGATCTTAAAAATGGGTAACATAAGATATACATACTTTCAAGAAATATTAGATTGGATATATAGCCACGTTTGTAGAGCAAAACTTCTTACTAAGTTAATCCTTGAAATAAATAAGCATGAGAGCATAATACAATTTTTTGCCTAAACCTATGATTGTAAATACTAATATTCATGATGTTCTGTACTCACCTCCCTTTATATAAAGTGTTAAGAATTTCTGTCAAAAATGAAGCACAAAATTGAACTGATAAGAGGAAGAAAATTAGTATTTTAGAGAGAAAAAAAATAGAAATATTATCACAACCTGACAAATAGTTAACAAAGAAGGTGCAATAAAAATATTTGACTACCGGTGTAAATTGATAGGAATTAAAAAATGACCATTAGAACTAGCTTAAAATTCACTCTGGCAAGCAAACTGGTTTTGGTGATTTTAATTTCCTCTGTCTCAAAAGTGACACATCAAATTTTCAACACATTTTTGTTTTCTCCACGCTTAGACATTCACTTTCATCTTTTATTAACAATTTTTTTAAAACAATTTTTGAGGAAAATTACAAAATATATTTTAAAAATGTTGGTTTTGAAACGTTGTTAAAGCTGACAGTTTTTCACTATTATTAAAAACTGACATTAGTGTATGTTTATAAGCATATAAAATTCATACATCTTATAAATATTCTTAAATATGTACAAAGTCTGTTCTACTAAGAAATTTAAATCTATAAAATTACTTTTAACATGCTTTCCTAGGAGTGATGATCTTCAAAAATAGGGTCGCTTAGTATCGAAAAAAAACTTTTAGATTATCGAATATCATTATCGATTACCGTACAACATTCACTATACAGAAACATGTCTATCTACTTTATACTCAAAAATATTATTTTGAGCGTATAGTTCCAAATTATATATCCTTTAAACTAACCTTCATCAAATTTTATTAATTTTTTATGGAAAATTAATTATTAAAAACAAATATTAAGAAAAAGCATGATCAAATTGTTTTTTATAAAATATTTTTGAAAGCTTCTTTTCTCCAAAAATGCGAGCCAGAAGTTTCTTTAATATCTTATTAAATACTAGTTTTCTTTGCACAGTTTATTATATTCACGGGAGATGAAATTATGTAATTTTTGTTTTCGTCGTCTTATGCCTATATTAACTTGCATCGGACAATTTAAATTAAATTTTTATTAGAACTAAATATCCTCCTTGCATTTTAAGACATCTTCACAATGTAATTAAAAAGTAGAACGCTCCCTCTAGACACAGTTGTCGCCGCCATGAGGGTTAAGAGCTCTCTTGCCTCACGATTAAAGTGAAAAATATGAATGAAAGGATAAAAAAAAGTAAATACATGCTTTCAATCAATATTTTAATCTCAAACAAAATTAATAGCTGTCATTTACTCGATTCGGCAGAGTGTATTGAAACATGCAAAACAAAATAAGTCAGATTTTGAGAGATATACAACGTTTTAATTTATAACTTTATTTGATATTTTCAGAAAAGAAAAAGAATTCCAATTCAATTCTTAAAATAGCATTTTAGTTTAGTATTTCTGTCGTTAAGATTTTTTTTTTATTAACTTTGTTTTCGCATGTTAAAAGGATTTTTCAGCTTCACTCAAATAATTTTTTATCTGTAAAAAACTTAAGTGAAAAGTAAATCTTTAAGCATTTATATACATACAAGTGTAGATTATTAAAATTACCCGTACAAAAAAACAAATAACATATAATTTTATTGCTAAACTTTTTTGAATTATAATTTCTAAAAGATATATAGTCTCATTTTCTCCACTCTAGTAAACTGCATACTTTGTTTTCTGTCTTTCCTCGAAAATATTTTGCCGTCGAGCAATATTCTACCCACAGAATTCTGTTAAGAACCAAACACATAAACAACATAAAAATAAAAAAGACAAAAGTTTTACTTAAATTCCAAAATGGCGAAATAAGAGAGCTTTCTTCACCAATGACGTCATTATAATGACGTCATTGAGTATCCGGCGATTTGGAAATTATGTTATTCACACAATTTATTTTCATGTCTTAAAGCATTTGTCCTATTCTACTATCAAGACAAAAGTTATTTAAAACTCAACATACAATTGTGTAAGAAATTAAGAGAATTTGAAGACTTTCTCTAGAACTACTGGACAGATTTTAATGCAATTTGATATGTATATACATTGATACAATGCAGAACAAATAACCATTCAATAATTGTAATACACGCGCATGAAGATGCGTAACACTCGTTGGGGTCGGAAAGTATGAAACAGCTGTTGCAAAATAAACAAAAACAAATGGGTTAATAAGGAGTATGATCACCTCTTACAGATATACAGGCCTTGCAGGGTGATTTCATACTTGAAATATGGTAGTTAATCATTGCCATTTTCCCGTGGCAATTTCAGATCTTATGACTCCAACTAGTGTTGCGCATAATCATGAGTGTGTATTACAATTATTGAATAGTTATTTGCTTTGTATTGTATCAATGTATGTACATATCAAATTTCATTAAAATCGGTCCAGTAGTTCTGGAGATAATCGACCAAGTCTGCAAATTCACTTAAATTCTTACACCAGTGTCATAAAACATCGAACCAATTCAGAAAATTCATATGGGGTTGAAAATCAACCATAAAACAAAACAAAAAATGGATATTTCACCCATCTCACCATCGAGTTGAAAAGCTATAACATTTTTTTTTAAAATTTTTTTCAACACTGATTTTCTTCATTAATTGCTGTTTCGTCACTTTCCAATATGATGCTGGGAGGTGAGTTCATTTTTCTCAGTAAAACAGAATTGTAAACTGTTCTATCGTTCGAATCTTCGTCATCCCCAGTCTCGTCTGTGCTGCTGCGGCCGAACCGAGACACTTCGGAACTGGGTTCATCCGATATCGAACTCATGTCCGTCTGTCCCATTGATTTGTTGGACATGCTGGACGTATTGGGTGTTGGTACGGTTAGTAGACCACCAGCACTCCTGCAGCAGGTGCCATTCTGTCGTGTCACCTGGAAGGAGATGGATGGCACTGTTTTGGTTTGGGATATACCTCCCACGCTTGGCTGGAAACGGACAGTTGGTATTGGCTGCAAAACAGTTGATTTAAACAGTGGATTAGTTAGCTGAAAAACAGTGGATTTAAAAAGTTTTTAGAATGGAATCTGATCATAGGCAACAAATACATTTTCCATTAAGTATCGACAGTTAAAAGGGGCTGATTTTATTTTATTATTTTATTTTATAACCGTCGGTGAACAGCGGGCCCATTTTTTGGGTTTACGACTACTAATGTTCAACGACTACTAATGTTACGACTATTAATGTTCATGTTTGAACCCAATCTAGTAGACAAAGGAACTCCTGGATCAAGTATTGGGAGAAATTTTACCTTCGTGGCGGGTTTTTGATGGAACACCGAAGACCGTTACATGGAGAGGAGGATCACGAAAACCTCCCATGGTTAGCTTGACGGCAAGGATACTCTAACCCATGATCTGTCTACCACTGAGGATAAATCACGTCAGCACTGTGGTTGGTGCAAGCAGGATACGGAATTCGTATCTACTAGCCATCACCTCATTGGAAGGCTCTTACGGGGCTGATTAAGGGGAATCTGCAGGGCTCATATCAGTAATGCTGAAACTGACCATTTTCGATGTAGCTTTTCTAAAAAAACTAATTATGATATCGCTTGGAATATTTTTGGGGATATATGAGATTGTATCAGTTGTATTCTGTGATAATGTTTCATCGTTAAGAGGACGCCATAGCGCGGCAGAAAATTTTTGTCGCAAATTTCCCTTCATAACTAACTAAAAATTTAAAACAAGGAAAAAGTAAGTTCAAGCAAACCTAGATTCAGTCATGAAGTTTCAATTGCTGAAAAAAAATACTTCAAAATATTAAAATGCAAACAAATTATTAGAAGAGAAATTCTCCGTCGCGTCATCCTAAGTTATCATCTCATCATTTATTTTCCATTTGTATATTCTAAAATTTTCTTTTCAGTATCTGAAATTTCATGGCATACTCTAGGTTTGTCTGAACTTACCTTAAATTTTACATTAATAATGAAGGAAAAAGAGAATTTGCGACAGAAATTTTCTTCCGCGGTATGGCATCCTCTTAACAGGAATACTTATTTAGTTGGGAGAGGTTTTTGCTTGAAAATGATAAAACTTATAAAAAAATTAAAAGTTTATTGCAATTTGTAAGAAAAATCATAAGACAAGCAATGGAGGCTAGACGCAAATTAGAGTCCACGGACTATACTATAGACTGACTTTTTTTCCTTTGTTCACTGTTAAATTTGTTATTGGTTTTTCTACTTTTTTTTCTTGTTTTTGTTAACATTTGTCTTTGTAATATGCCATTATAAATAAAAATAAAAACCTTTCTTTATAAATTTACGCCCCGCGGTGGACTCATCGTAAAGACACGGATCCCAGTATAACAACGAAGACGAGCATCACTGGCTGTGGTCAGTAAGCGGGTGGGTGACCACTTTAATCAGCTTCCGTAAGGAAAGAGGGTGCACGGTACAGGTCCTCGTTAAACTGTTCTACCGTAAAGTGCTTGACTTCGCGTTAAGGTCGTCGGGCTACAAAATTATGGGAGCCATCCCCTTTGCAGAGGATCAAAATTGCGATGGCATGTCTTCGGATCATCCTCAGGGATGTTTCCCAGACCGTCGACAATCTAATTGCCCGATGTGCAGCTCTAGTGCGACGTTAATAAAGCATCTACCTAATTATAAATTTACATTACTGGTTGATTTTTATTAGAATATTATAAAGAAGAGCTTTTAAGGTGTTTACTTTGTCAATCTGCGGACACACGAGGTGCCCATGACTCCATTAGCCGATTAAGAGTTGCTATTTAAAAAGGGAAAATTTTGGGATAGATTTGATAAAGTTTTCAATACGTGTAAGATATGAGTAACCCTAATCCAAAAGCAGTTCTCAGTTCCTTTGCTTTTTCATACCGGCGTAAATAGTTAGCGAAAAAAACTAATCCAATCAGTTATGTCAATAAGCAGCAAATTCCTAATACTTCATAGTGTCAGTGATATAATTTCTCATTTTTTATATATTTTCTCTTGTATTATTAAAACTTAAAAAGATACATGGGTAATTCCAGAAAAATCGAAATTGTTGAAGTGTTTTCTTTAAATTTAAGAACTTCAAAATAATTTGTTTTTTTTTCTCCAGAAAATATTCATTTAATAAGCAAACAGAGAGCAGTGAATTTAAGAGTTTTTGACAGTTTATAAAAATTTCCTGGCATTTAAGGGACAGGAAAATGATATCGGTGAATAATGACTTCGTATGAACTTTTTAGCTTTTTTGCTTCCATGTTTTTTTCATTATTTTCATTTTAAGGTCTACCGTTTTTACTTTGCGTTATTAACAAGGTGAAGAGCACATTTGATTAAATTCTTTTTATTAACTTTTTGAAAATTACCAGACAGAATGATTTTATTTACGTTATTAATGTTTTAGAAAAGCTGAGGAAAAGACAACATGAAAAATAGAGTAAAATATCGCAAATACCATTAGTGACATGACAGGAAAATTGAGGAATTAGAAATATTTAATTGCACAAACCTTTTTCCTTTTTTCACTTAAAAGCTCTCTAAAACAACCTTGACTTATTTTTTTTAAAATTGATTTGTAAGTAATTCATTTGCAGTTTCTGTAACTTTATTACTTAAAACTTTCTTTTCCTCTGCTAAGTTCTCTAAAAACGTCTGTATTACCTGTCCTTTTTTCAATCATAAAATGTACAAAAAAATTCTGAAATCTTAATGTCATTTACTTTTTCTTTTTCTCAGCTATACTTATAAAGGATCTTAATAGCTTAATAACGTAGCAGTTTTATCTAATTAATTTGAACTTTTTGTTTACCTGAACCATTTCTTTTACGTGTTCAAATTTAATAAATACGAGTCCTTTGAACTTTTAAATTTTTATAAATTAATAAATAAATCCCGAATTCATTATTTCTAGAGCATATTTTTCACACAGATTATACTGAAGCCAGACACTCTAGGTCTCTCTGTACTAGCTACCACCTCCTACATCAGAAAGCCTCCGCACGGTATTTTATAACTAGTCTGCGCAGTCTATTTAAAAAGTGAACCAGTTGTGCGCATGAAACCAAATTCAATATCAAAAGTAACTCAGAGAAATTTATTATATACATTTGAGAATTGAATCTGTAGTGGTTGACAAGTAAATAAGACAAACCAATCATATTCATAAATCAAACAAATTTTTAGACGTATATTTGCTATCACTTTCTTATTTATACTAGAGATTCCATCAAATGACTCTTTCCCAAACTAGTTTACCGTCATAGTGGTCTGATCGGACTACCTATAAGAAACCGTGTGGAGGCTTTCAGTTATAGGAGGCTTTTTCAAGGAAAATGAATCGAAAGTAGTCTGTTTATTCCTTAAAACAAGTAAAGGGAAAAAAATGAACAAAAAAAAACTTCTAAAAGAAATATCAGCAAGCAGAAAGAAAAGTGATGGGTTCTAAAGATGGAATAGCTTATATTCTGCTTCTTGCAACATCCTAACCACCATGGTAAACCTCTAGGGCAGGCCACTCACAAGGGAAGGGAGCGGTAAGTAAGAGTCCGAGAAGCAGATTCCTAGACTTTTGCGCAGATCACACCTGCGCATCCTAGTGTTAAGGAATAGGAATTCGTCCCTTGTGTACCTCTTTCTTACCAGTTGCTTCCTCAGTTTGTGGACTACTAAAACATATGACCAGTTGAATAGACGACTGGAATGGGGTGGAGCCTCTTGGCTGTTTCATTTACCCTGTAAATATTTGCCTCAAGTTTTGCTGAAATTCGAAACCAGAATGGATGTAAAACCGGTTTTGTTAAGTAACAAGCCCTGCTTGAAGAGGAATAAGCACACTTCAAAACCGGTATTTGTTCAGAATTTGGACAAAGGTGAAACAAATATAGTTTGCTTAAAGTATAAACTCCCCTAGCCGTTCGTCTGGGCATATGGCGGAGACTATGGTAACGAGGTATAACTATTTCAAGTAGGAGTGTGGGGTCATGGTTAAGATGGTTTAGGACAGGTTTTGACTGGGGTTAGCGAAAGTAATGGAATCTTTTTCATCCGTCTATTGTGTTAGCCCTAGATTGAAGAGAAGCTACCCTCCCTAAAATGCACCATTCTGGTTTCCATAGCAGCAGACGGCCTCAGACTTTGTGATGCAGGATTTCTTACAGTAGACAAACTATATTTACATTTCGGCTGTAAACTCAATAAACAGTTAATTTCGTTACGTCACGAAATAAAAAGATGACTTGTAGGACATAGAGGAACATCCCTGGAGGATGATTCAAGGAAAAGCTAGACAATTTTGATCTTCCGCAGAGAGGATTGCTCCTTTATTTTTGGTAGACTAACAACTGCGTGCAAAGTTTAGCACTTCACGGCTAGAAGAGCTTCATGAGAATTGATACCGCACACCCTCGATACCTCTGCAGGTTGATCATAATGGTCTCCCACTCACTCATTGACCTCTGTCAATGATGCTTGACTTCGACGATTTACTGAAAACCGTGTCCAACCATCCACTATGTCGTCCTATGTCCGTGTCCACTATGGTGTCCAAATTAACTTCCAAATCTCTAGATTTTGGATGATTACCCAAATTAACTTGGAGAAAAACTGGTCTTAGAAACTAGTAGGCCAGGCTGTCATTTGTATTTCTATTTTGTTATAGGATTATCCTTTCATAAAAATCAATGAAATGAAAGCATTCGAAAATTTATTTAACAGTAATTAAATTTTACATATGCTCTCTAACCTTAATTAGTGTATTTTAATTAAGTTTCTTTTACAATGTATAGATAAGATTTTCAGTTAAAGCGTTAGTATAATTTTGTAAGTATTTCAAAAAATATCATATTTTAAACATTCTATTTAAAAAAAATAATTTACGTGTCATTTTTTGCATTCTAAAAGCTTTTCTTCCCTGAAATAACGACTCTCAACGAATTTTTTGTAACTGATGTTTATTAATATTTTTGTTACCATAAAAGCGTTTTTACATTT